CTTAACTCAAAATGCCACTGACAGTGAGCTAGTTCTGGCCAAAATAACCCTTTATCAAAAAATATGAAACTATTTTTCCATTTTATTTTTAAATATAATTGGAAAATTGTTTAATTGTCTATAATAAACTTAACATATATATAAATTTAAATGATTTTTTTGCGGGAAGCGAGTAATTCGTTTTTCATCGATACTTAGAAAGTTCACTTTTTGAGTTAACACTATTGTATTAACAGTGCGACTTGTCCCTTTCATAATCAGCAAGGAATAGCCTGTATATTCGCTTAAATTTCAACTAAGTAATACATATATTATGTACCATCCGCTCCTACAAGGAATAGCGTATAGGCATTTGGGTCATCTACGCACCACTACATGCCTCCGGGCTGGCGGTCATTCATACAAAGATTGACCCCCCTCTACAGCTGCATTATGTGAGATAAATCATAGACAATCCGCATACACTACAACATATTAAGTAGATAATACCTCCCTCTGAAATTTCGGAATATATTGTGTTTTCCTCTAAATTTAAAGTGTAATTCGCAATTACTTTACTATTGTGACTAGTGTATTTTGAAAATAAAGTTTTGTACTTAATTTTTTTTATGATATCAAGTAGAGATGCCACGAACATTCGGCTACTATTCGATATTCGGCCACTTTTTTTAATATTCGGCCGAATACCGTACATCAAGTAATGAAAAAAGCACATATTATTCAAAATGTATCAAGTGTTTTAATCACTAATTATTGCTTTAGTATTTCAATTCAGCAGTGAATGAAAACAATTTTTTCAGCATTGGTTGGTAAGAAACGATTGCGCTTTTCCTCATAAAACGCTTCTGAAAATAATATCTCACTACATACACCAGGACACGATAGATAAATCTTGGTAAATTTTGACAGGCTTGGATACTGCTTTGCGTTTGCTGACCACTACTTGTAAGGATCTGCCGTCCGATCTAGGCGTTTTCACATAAAAATCAATCTCATGTGCGATAGAACTTTTCCCCGCATCCTCATGATTTTGCATATTATCTGTAGCGACTTCTTCAAAACAGGTCCAGAAACCATCATGTATTGATTCTATCGTTTTGTCATTTTTCAACAAAAACGCCCCATCCCCGTAACCTCCGCACGCAACACAATGAAACAGGTCTTAACAGGACGCGTATAAAATGCACAGATCTTACGCCGTACATTTGGCAGCCGAATTCGGCCGAGAGCGTAGCCGAATATTCGGTATTCGGACAAATCACTATTCGTGGCATCTCTAATACTAAGTGACGTGGAGACTAGACAAGCGACACGCCTGTCCCTAACAGTTGCAAAGCCACTCATACCTTGAAATCACAAAGATCTGAAAGGCAAAGAACCTTCACTAGTTCCATGTGCCTGTAATTTCACCAGCACTTTTACCCTTCAAAACCGGAACGCAGTAATGCTCACATTACCGCTTGGCGGCAGAAATAAGTAAGGTTTGTTTCACAAGGAGCTCTACTGCTACTTAATAAGTAAAAATTATGTATCATTTCTAGGGGTATTAACCCTTTTTTGTATATTACTTGAAGTTTAAATATACTAGGTCTATTCCAACTTCTGATTATTAGTTAAAAAAAGACAGGAAATTTCAACTCATTATTTTAAAAAAGCCACACCAGTACACTCTGACCTTAAAAATAAGTAACTGATTCTAACTGCACTAGTCGGAACTTCAAAATCTTTTCAGAGTTATATAATCATATCTTTTATTGCTTGATAGCACGATAAGTAAAAATACATGATAAGATAAACAAAGATACACTTGACAATCAAAATTGTCACTATTTGATGCTGCAAATAAAAACCCTATGAGATTCATGCAAGAACTAATTTTCAACAATGATATTGACAGTTAGTATCTGATTTTGGGACTGCTATCAATAGTAAATGTATTTACAGATTATTATGAGTTGTGGCTAAGTGTGTCTCTATTTCCTTTTTTTCTTAATTAACAGTGTTATTTATTATCGATACCTCCAATGGACACTACGCTAACTTTATTTTTCAGTCATTTTCTGTTCTTTTTGTAAACAGCCATATTTATTTACAAATATTATGCTCCCTGAATTTTGTGGAAAAAAAAAAGAAACATAAAATAAAAACAGAACAGGGGTGTTACTATGAACTCTTCTTACGATTCAGATTAGGATATAAAATGAATAGTTGTGAGACAGCGCTGCTTGAAGTGTATATCACCATCCCGCTTTTTTGTCATTACGAACCATCGAGTATATAACCAGAAATAGAGACGAAATGTCATTTAATTTGTTTGAAAACTATTCTGTAAACAAATCATTACAGTAACAACTGCGCTCCGATTGGCCACCCCGAATTCGAAACAAATGACGGGTGTCGTCAATCGTTTCACTTCAAAACGACCACTTTAACTTGAGCTTTGCTATAATAGACGATAATTGGAAAATTACATATTTAATTATTTGATTTTTAATTCGGAAATTAATCCCTCTATTCCACTAAGTTCAACTATAAGTTCAAT